AAAAAAAAAAAAAAAAAAAAAATCAATGTGACATGGATTCGCTCTGGACCTTTTGGAGGGAAAAGCGTCGTTTTTATTTTGACTTTCAATTATTTTGTGAATTCTAGTTTAAAGTGGAATAGGATAGTGCTATTGTGCCTTAATCGAAGATTAAAACGCGAAATTATACGAATTTGGAACTAAAATACCCGTATCGGCCCGTTTTAAGGAATCCCGAGTCAATCCAAGCACGCCGCCTCAAATTGCCTATCCTCTTTGTAGCGGCCATGTTTACAGAAACAAAATTAAACTTCATGTTTAGGCTTATGGCTTTGCCAAAGCCTTAATAAATTTAAAAAAAAAAATCTCTTTTTTAAAACGGGCCGATACGGGTATTTTAGTTGGAGATTCGTATAATTTCGCGTTTTAATCTTCGATTAAGGCACAATAGCACTATCTTATTCCACTTTAAACTAGATTTCACAAAATAATTGAAAGTCAAAATAAAAACGACACTTTTCCCTCCAAAAGGTCCAGAGCGAATCTCGCAAGAGGTCTCTTGTCAAAACGTTCCTTTGTAACTTTCATTATCTCTCATTTAAATATTTTTGTCACATGTTTTATTTTTAGCTTTATGTCATTACTCTTTAATTGATTATTTCATTAGGTTTTTTATAGCTTTAATGTTTTATGTGTGTACTACAAACTAACCAATACTTCAGGTAGGTAAACATTCAATCATGCTTAAAATGAAACGTACGTACAAAAACGTTGCCTAATCTATGGTCGAACTGAATCAATTGCGTTGTATTCTTGCATCTATTCTAAAATACCATGTTTTACAATCCTTTTATTCCCGACTTCTAAAATATACAAAAATATACTATCAAAGTCCATGACCGGCTCTTCGTCGTTATTGGGACAGTTTTCGCCTTCCCTCTTTGCAACCTGGTAACAAAGTCATGATCATTTTAAGAGTCTTTGCTACCTTAGGTCGAATTCAAATGTTTCTCGTGCTGAATCGGTTCTGTTGCGCGGTTCGAGCAGCGAGGATACTGGGTTTAGAATTTATTTTTTTACAAACGAAATTCAAGCCACTAGAAAAATGTATATCGTATATTATACGTGTTCTATTTAGTTCAGTTAATATAAAAAGAAACATTGGTATACGTGAAGTACCTATTGAATACAGCGATTTTCTTGTAAAATTTCGAGGTAAGTTTGTGTTTTTGTTCTATCGGGTTTTCACACCGTATACTAATAATCAGTTTATATCTTCAATTTTACTATATAGTTTTTTCCAAAGTGATTGATTCAACATTATCACTGTTATGCGGAATCAACCAAAGCCATTTGAGGTCAAATCGACTGTTAATAATCTGAAGAGATTTAAAAATCGCTTTTTCGCAGAGATTAATTCCGGCAGAGTATAGCAGCGTGTCATTCTGTATTTTGGATAACAGCCCCCGTAGCATGGCTACGCTTGACACGCGATAAAATTGAAATAAGCGCGCGCTATTGGCTGTCTCGATCAGATCTAATTTAGATAGCCAATTGCGCGCGCTTATTTCAACTTTATTGCGCGCGTCGCGACTATCATGCGTAGCCATGCTACAGGGGCGTAACGTAACAACTAGTAAAGTCAGCAATAAATATCAAACTTATGTCCATGACAGTAGACCTTTTTAATGGAAAAAAAACGTCATTTTGTCTCCAAGCATCGAAAAGTGCATCTTTGTTAGCAAATTTTAGTAGTTTTAAATTTCACTAATCGATGATGAATAAATGAAAAAATACCAAATGGCTACTTAACTGGTTAGTTTTTTTAACATTGACATTCTATTCTGTTCTAGATAAACTCCCATATTGATAAGGTTGATTATTATCAAATCTAATATTTTTGACTAATGTCCATGCTTCGAGAAATTTGACGTTGACTGTATTTACCTTCACTAGAGGTGACTGGTAGGAATGTATCGGCGGGCGGACTGGGCGTGGAGGTGGGCCAAACACGCAGTGCCCGGCCCGCCACTATCGCCACCCCCAGGGCCGTACTTTCCGTCATCAAGGGGCGTATCTGATGGGACATATGTATATCTACCTTAAAACATGACATGACATAACTTACTTTTCTCATTTCTGGTGTGTTTGTGCGTAATGTTATACAATTACTTCGGCATTTGTGAACTGATTTTGATGATTCTTTTTTTGTTAGAAAGGGGGTACCTCAATATTGGTCTCACTTAAATTTGATGAAAATATCCACCTCTAAGGGTGGTAAACTAGGGGATGAACTACCGGTTTCGCGCACTTTCTGGTAACCGATTTCTATAAAACTTGGCAAATAAGTGTAATTCCACGAATTTTTGAGAACGGTTTTCGATAAATAACAAAGTTTATATCGAGTTCTTAGGTTTTCGCGATTGTTACTCATAGGAAATGAAACTATTTTTCCGGATTTAAATCGCGTATATTTGTTTTTTCAAACAAACCCACGTTTCGTTATTACCTTCATAAGTTTGTATGTAAGTACCTTCATAACATTTTCGTATTATGTTTACATAAAAAATATATTTGATTTGTTAGATATTATTGTCAGAGGAATTGCAACATTCATACAAATCACTTTAGGTTTAAGTGTGAAAGTATAACCTACGTTTAACGTTTTTGTTATTAATACATAAATAAATTAATGCTTTGTTTCATGTTTTATGGAAAATGGACTCACTACAGGAATACCAAGTATATCCGCCTGCATCTGTATAAAAAGGCTGTTTTGCGCCATGCCGCCGTCCGCCAGCAGCCGCCGCAGCGGCGCGCAGTCTCCCGCCATAGATGTCGCTACTTCGCGCGTTTGATGACACACCGCTTCGAGTGCTGCGCGAACGATGTGCTCGCGACGTGTACTATTGTTTAGGCCTATCATTACACTGAAATAGAGACATACATTCCTAACTTGCTACTCTGGAAGGGAGAATTCTCATTATACAAGCATTTTGCTTGATTAGCTTGTGCGATATGTGGTGGGTGTCAGTTCGCGCGTGTGTGTCTATAAACCGTATTCCAGAAATCTACTCAATGCTCAAGTCAGGACTTGAGCATCCTTGAGTATGATTTCAAGCACTGGAAATACGACCCTAATGGCAAGAATTTGAGTATGATTTTCAGTGCTTTAAATCATACTCAAGTCCTGACTTGAGCATTGAGTAGAGTTCTGGAATGCGACCCTATGTCTGTGTGTGCGTCTATGTCAGGGCATGTGTGTGTCTATTTCAGTGTATATGTGTGTCTATGTCTGTGCGTTTGATTGAGCTTGTTCGTGTGTGTGACCACGAACAGTACAGATAGAACTATAGTCTGTTCCAATCCATTTTGAACAACAAGTAAACAAACCTGTTTGGTTAAAATTCTAAAGCAATCACACAATAAATCGAATAAGTAACACTTTCACGTATATTTCGAAGATTTCGACTTGATATATCATCACTTTTTCCAACAATATTCATTTGAATAGCATCGTAAAATCGTATTTGAAAAATGGTAGTTATACAGTGAGGTTATTATTCATCTATACTTCTATGACTTGCCTATGGTTGCATAGTGCTGTTCGAAAACAAACAATTGGTTCAATCAGTTAAAGTTTAGTAATCGATTATTAAGTCGTACATTTCAATCGTAATCGAACGAGTATCTAAGTATAAGGATTTGAAGGAGGATTTAAATTGAAATTTTAAATATGCTTATATAGGTTATGTAAGGAAAACCGCTAGTATGACTCAACTGAACAAATCGATTCATTCAATGAATTAATCGATTTGTAGTTGGCGTTACAATTAGCCATCACTAAACCGTCTATAGTCGAGTCACTTTTTGTTCAAAATGAATTGAAACGAAGTATATTTATTTCAATTATTGGTCCTGTCTGTTCACAATGGTTCAAAATTTATTTGCTCAATAAAAATTGGACCAACATACCCTCTTGCATCTTTCCTCCAATATGGAGCATACAACCCGTTGAATGCAGGTACGAAGCATATGTTCCCCTCATCCTCCTCGTCCACTTGCGCAGCCTGTGATTCGGTGTCGGCTACGTCGTCCAGTATTTCGAAACCGTCACGTAGCCATTGGAGTGTGTCTCCTTAATGTAACAACCAATTACAGAACGATCACAACTATAATTAGCCAAATTCGATGTAGAATAAATGTCACAAACAAAAACATATAATTTTCAGGGTGTCACCTCACACTGTTTTACAGTTACCATACTTCCAGTATTTTTCCCCGAAATTTGACTAGGCAATTGATGATACTAATCTTGAATTTGACTTAAAACCAACATAAAAATTACCAGTAATTTATTATTTATAAATCTGTGTCATCCCTAACGATTTGTTTTATTTGAAGGGTGAGATTGCAAACAAAAACATTCGAACTCGATAAGTAATTTAAGTCATAATCGGAAATTGATGCTGGATGAGATACGTAGTATAATTAAAATAAAATCTAACAATTATGCAACGATATCTATGAACTAGCGTACTTCTATACACACGCTGTTTCATTGATGTGCGGTGAAGACGCTGCACATCATTTAGTTGGTTGTCAAACATTCAAGATCGCGGACGCAGATGCGGTCCTCTTCGAAAATTAATTTACATCGGTGTGTTACTCACATTTAGCTCCTCAACTAATAGTGTCAACATTACATTTATTAATGACGTGCTCTGGATTTTACACTTCGGAGTTGGAACTGTCTTATCAATGACATACAGTTGAAATTCAATAAATCTTAGGTGTAAAGGTAAATGTGTCATTGTCCGCATATATCACCTTCAAAATTACCTGCAATAGCAACGGACCCTTCAAGCGCGTAGACCGGCGGCGCATCCGGACCCAGTTTATACGCTACAGTGGTAAGCAACCCATTTTGTGAGTGTACTATTGAATCACCTGTAACATTGATAAAAGTACAAATTTTAAATTGTACAAACAGTTGTTCAGCTCTAGGTATATTATCAGTTTCCGAGGATGCGATTTAGTAGCAGTAAAGCTCCTCGTGAAAGAGTTTGTCCAGGGAAGTATTACCACCTTACCTATTTCTACCAAGCAGTAATGTTAGCATTACTGCGTTCCGGTTTTTGAAGGGTAAGGGTGCTGGTGAAATTACGGGCACATGAGACTTGTCAACTTACGTCTCACGGTTACGGGCGCAGTGGCAGTGCCCTTCAGATCTTTGCGATTTAAAGCTCTGAGTGGCACTGCAATTGTTATGAACAGGCATGTAGCTTACTACCAGGCGCACGACTTGTTTGTCCCGTTACTTGGTATTATAAAAAAAAATTGTATGTCAGTAGATCTATAAATCGACGGTTCAGGGGAATAAAGCTATAATATTTTACGTGACCCTTTATTTATAAAATAAAGGGTGTCACATAAAATAGCCACCAGTGATGTCAACGATAATAATGGAATCAAAGTATCCGCTTTACGCAAACGGATAATTTAATTCCCTTGTTTATATACTACGAACAAAACAGGAAAAAACCATAAAAGTATATTTTTTCCTTGATTATTTTGCAAAGTATATTTACGGGTTTATTCACCGAAAAAAAAAATGTCCTGGTCTCAGACTAGGCCCTATATTACGAGTACTAGAGCAACAGAATTTTAGATAATTTTAGAATTTTAGATTTAGAAATATAGAATAGAATAGAAAAGTTCATTTTCCCCAATTAGTCCTTGTCCAGTGTCCACAGTAGGCCCCAAACCATTGGGCCACCGAGGTCGTGAAAAATGTCGGAGTTGATTTCATTTATCATCAACCCTTTTATACGTCACACGGCTGGGCACGGGTATCCTCTGTGGCGCGGGTTTCAGGCTATCGTCCGGCACCAATGCGGGTTGGTAAGGTCCGCTTCTGAGGATTGTGAACCTTCTTTGACGTACAAGTTTCATCGCAATGTTTTCATTCACCGAAATTAAATTTCGAACTTAAATTCCGAGAAACTTACGAGGTGCGACGCCCACGGCCTCTGCTTGAAAGGCGGCAGCTACCACGGCTTTTTAATTTCATTATTATTATATGTATGTGTAAATGTCTCTAGCACCTCCGCTTTTATTCTTGTTTAATCTCTCTCCATCCTAAGGTTGTCTGGAAGAAATCGCTGTAAGCGATAAGACCGGCGATCGTTACCCTGCTTATGTGTTTAATTTTTGTCCTGTAATCTCTCTAAATATGTGGTGCCAACAACAAAGCATTTTCTATCTATCTATCTTTTATTATAGATTTGGGTAACCATTACTTTGCAATCGAATTTTGGTAAAAATATAGAATTTCGGTTTACCTCTCATTCGCGCAACTATCTTTTATCATCTTTTCTCATTGTTTAATGAACTAAAGACGTCAGAAATAAATATGAAACTTGTGTCGGCAAATGAAAAAAAAGAAATGGCCTATTTTTTTCAAATTAATTAAGTGACGGTGAGGTCGACGATGGAGCATGCACACCTAAATAAGCAATAAAAAAACTCGCGTTACATTTTACCTCTATTATCGATTTATTCCCTTGAGCCGTCGAAAAGTTGGATTAGTAATAATAATAATAACAACGCAGATAGGCCCCCCTCACTAGGGAAACCCTGTATCGCGGGATACACACATACACAACTACAAATTACACCTAAACTCACGAGATAAATGTAGGCTATATAAACAGTCCAGCATAATAACCGACCGGACACAGAGGCAGTTACATTTGTGTACCAAATGCAAGCCTCTAAAGATCTGTCTGAGAGCTGTGAATTTGTTACCAAGATAATATAAGTGTCGTGTTCCAGAACTCTACTCAATGCTCAAGTCAGGATTGCACTGGAAACACAAGCATTGGAAATACGAAGGGTCATATTTCCAATGCTTGTAAAGCACTCGAAATCATACTCAAGTCCCTGCCATTCCCTAACGGTTCGAATCCGACCGGATCGAAGGAATTTTTCTGAGTGTTTTTTCTCAGTGTTCGATCTTTGTATTAATAATTATAACAAACTAGTGGAGTAATTTCACAAAAAATAATTGAATATCAATTCAATAAAAATTTAATTAAAATTTGAAGTTTTGTCAAAATTGTAAGTATCATTCCAAGAAGGTGCGATACACGTAAGACAGTCGCGGTACTTAACGATTTATTTAGTTAAGGCACAAAAATTACTTATCATATTGGTTTTAAAAATATTACACAGACAGTACATACATATCTGATTTCTACAGAAGCTAAAGAATCATAACAAGTGACGCCAGAATATTATCTTATATGTATTTTTGGAATGCATTTATCTAAATGCTACTGTCGGTTGATATGTTTACTGTGTATAAGATAAATGAGATAAAATACCTGTATTATATAAAAGAAAGCAACCAGTGCCAAATGTACATTTGACTTGGCCGAATCTCATACAACCTTGTCCGACTAGTGCTGCTTGCTGGTCTCCTAGACACTGAAAATATTTCAATGTTAGATCATACTGCTAATTAATAATCAGTTTCACCATTGAAGAAAAATGTTGTTAGGACATCAGAGAAGTTTAACAAAATTCTAAGACGCCTTTACACAGGGTGCCTAAAAAATTAACGCCAAACGTAACGAAGCTGTACTTCAAAGCGAACAATTATAATTCTACGAATTTAGGAAATTTTTAATAAAATTATAGAAAAAAATTTGTTAGCTCCTTAAGTTGTAACGACAATTTCACGGATATTCTGAAAACAACATACCCCAGCTATAGGAACTCCTAACAATGGTCCAGATGAGATGTAACCGTAAATCTCAGCTGAACTCTTAATCTTTGGTAAAATCTGCTTAGGTATATCAAAGTATCGCAATAGCGATTTGTCCCACTGTAAGCTCCTTAGGGACATTAATTGCGTTCTTGACGCGTTGGTAACATCTGTTGCGTGTACACCACCGTGTATACCACCTGTTAGGTTCTGAAAACATGTACACATATTAAGAACTAATAAGTGTGCTTTCACCACGATCGCAAGCATTACAGTGTATGTCATCAATATGAAAAGAAGAAGTTATGCCATTAAGAGAAAACTACAATAAAGTTGAATGCTGGAGTCACAGATCACAAATTCGGTGCCAGACTTAATAAGTAGCCATATAAATTGATTAAGTTGTGTATATTACAAATACATACCCAAATCAACCAAGAATCAACAGTCCCCACCAAGCATTCTCCACTAGCAACAGCATCCTTAACAGCGGTCACATTCTGAAGCAGCCACTTCAACTTCACAGAAGAGAAGTATGTTGATAATGGAAGACCACTGGTTTGGGCTACGGCGTTTGCACTTTGTGTTCCCTTGCTTTGTATCAAGTCATCTACTATTTTAGAAGTTCTTATGTCTAACCAAACTGGAAATAAAAAACGATTGTACTGTGAGTTCTGTGAACGTTTAGATATGAGTCAAGTTTTTATAGCATGTTTATTACACTCTTGTTTGGGGTATATTATTCATGTGGAACAGCTAAGCCCAGTGAGATCTTTACTGGTGCTACAAAAAAATATCCACCATAGCAGCCCATGATGGTAGGTCGTATTTAGTCTGACAGAAGTGCACTTAAAGTAGACTCTCTCAGTTGAAGTGCCTATATTGCTCTTTGATCACTTAAGTAATTATTGCCAAATTATTCTGGGACTATGAACTTGGCAGACAGAAAACTGAGAATCTAGAAATGCTATGCCTCACTTTTGTTTCAATGCCAATTTCAACTATGTCAATGTTAGCTACACATATACATATGATGGTCGAAATGTGAAATGTCATAAGGTACATTTTGTCGTAACGTAAAACGACCTTACGACAAAATGTCTCTTAGGACATTTCAAATTTTCACAATCCATATAAGAGTAATAATTTTGTCGATGTATCGAATTTTGTAGCAAGGAACATTTTCCATTGTGACAAAATATTCCACCTTTCATATGGTTTTACTTAATGTAGAGAGAGACCTTGCTATGAACACAGGACTTTGCATGCAATCAATTAATTATAATTTTGTAGGTTTTTTAAAGTGTTCTTGGATTTTTTAAATATATTTATTATTAACAAACATGACAGCTCTGCATCCCGTATTAGTGTAGCATTTTCATAAAGTGCACATAACAAATTGAAGCCCCATGTCCTCCAGGTTTACGCACCTACTTTAGCTACATCATGGAACACACCATGCCTTTGCCCACATTAGTTTTAAGCTGTCTATGTACTGTTTTTGTTCCTGTGTGTGAGCAATAAAGTGTACATCTATCTATCTATCATGTTTACTTGAGGATTTTTTTTACCTATGGCACTGTAGAGAGGATGGCCTGTTACTGAGTTCCATGCTATGGTGGTTTCTCTTTGATTTGTGATTCCAATTCCCACCACATCCTCAGGGTTGATATCAAGCTTTCTTAAGTTATCTGTTGTTACCTATAAGTAATGACAAGATTACATTAATTACAAATTGTGAAAAATATGGAATCTTCAAGATTGAAATTACTTTCAATTCTTTATTACATTTACCATAAAGTTATATAGGATGGAAAAGGCCTAAAGTTAACAGCACGTTATGGGCCCTGGAGGGCACTGCAAATTATGTTTAGAGAGACAAGTTTTACTCTTTACAATATTTTGAAATTTAGGAGTGTTTCTTTGTTTCATGTGTTCAACATAACAAACAAATTGGAAACATGTATTGCTTTTAATTAAAAAAATAACATACCTCAATGCATTCGATAACAGCGCTAAGAATTTCGAAAGCATCTTGTTCGACCCATCCTTCCTGAGGACTGAACCTCTTAATTAATACTTGGTGATATGTTAAAACTTCGGATGTGTTTGCCGCGAATATCTGAAACGTTCGAATCTTTCTACTTACCACACTTTAAGCAACCTTACCGTGTTAAAAACATCGAACAACTCTATACCATAAATTTTACGTTCGATGTTCCTTCATCGATGGCGCCAATTAGTGGACCAAATTTTCCGAATTTACGCATTATCGACGGTCTACATTATAACAGTAGTAGGTAGAAAGAAAATGAAATTTTACAAAAAACTAAAAGAAAATCAGCTGATCAAAACCAATGTCAAACGCTTTGACATTTGAAAATTATTATTTATTTATTTATTATAGCATTGGCTTCGGAGACATCAGCTTAATAGTAACCCTACTATATCTTTCTAATTTGTGATGGTAACAAATAATTAAGAAACGCATAACGTAATATATGTATGTACATATAATAAAAATTAATTCGAGTAAAAAATTTAACTACCAGTAACTACTAAAACCAGCCATTTTTTTCACAAAATCCCTGTTTGAAAAATATGGCTTTGACAATCGTAGTCGCGCTTAGAGAGATCACATCTCCTTTTGTATCTTAGAGGATGGAAAAAAAACTGGTTTTTCGCACATACAATAATCTTATAAGAAAACGTTTTCAGAAATGCACATTTCTGACAATTCTAACCGAATAAGCTGTGACCATGGATATGGCTGTGACCATTGCTAAGCATATTAAATAAAAATAATATTATTTTTCCAGATTTAAATCGCGTATAATTGTGTTTTCAAACAAACCGACGTTTTGGGCCCTTTACCAGGTCCTATGGTCACGGTTGACTGCTGTTATAAGGCCCGAATAAACAACGCACACACTCAACATAGCCCCGCACTAGGGAAACCCTGTGTCGCGGGTGCCATGGATACACACATAGACAACCACAAATTACACCCAAACTCACGAGAGAAATAAATGTCAGCCGTACAAACATTTCTCCCGGCCCGGGAATCGAACCTGGGACCTCTGCGTGGCAGTCCGGCATGGTAACCGTTCGGCCACGGAGGCAGTTGGCCCGAAACGTTCGGTTTGTTTGAAAAAACAAATTTAAGTACGCGATTCTGAAATCCGTAAAAAATAATTTTATTTCCTATGTGTAACAATTGCGAAAACATAAGAACACGATAATAATATTATTTATTTGTTGAGCATTGCCTATAGAGCCATCACATTAAACAAGCAATAAACAATTAGAAACTGAAAACTTAATGATAATTATACTAAAAATTTATTTGTGAAAAAACTGAACTACAAAAACCCGTCATTTTTTTATGTCTACTAATATTATATAATTATTTATTTATAAAGCATTGGCTTCAGAGCCATCAGCTTAATGGTAACAAATAATCTGGAAACGCACAACGTAATATACATACACTAAAAATTCATTCGTGTAAAAAATGTGACTACTAAAACCCGTGTATACCCGTGTATATATATATATATATGCTTATATATGCTTAAATAATAGATTTAAATATAGAGGATTCGCTCTGGACCTTTTGGAGGG